TGCTAAGACCGTATTTTTGTATTAATTAACCAGTAAAATATAATTAAATCTTTCGATAGTGAATTGGGAACTAAAGCTTGACAATAAATACTCTCCTTTTTCAGCAAATTTCGTTGGAGATAAGTGTTCCTTTTTTCCCATTGCTGAATTTAGAGGGTTTATTTACAATAGGATTTTCGTAAGCTAAAAGAAGGTCAATTAGCTATATTCTAACCATTTTATGAATTATCAACCGAATTGTTAAAAACATTATTTATGAAAATGGAAGGCCTATCTTTAATGAAGTCGGCTCTATGGCCTGCTACCCTTTTGAGCTCCAGGGGTTAAAATAGCTCTGTCTGATTCTCGTATTGTATCGCTTTAAATCAATCATTTTGATCCTTTGAACTTTGATGACTTCGGAATAGACCCGAAGCTTACATCTCGAGAGTTTTGGGGCAGATTTAAGGCTAATTTGGATAGACCAGATATTTACTGGTAAAAAATTCGTCCTTTGGATGCATCAATTATAGGAAAAACCTGTAAATTTATATGATGGCAGTATTTTGGCACAGCATCCGCTGGCACTAATATCATAGCGAATAGGCCGGGTTCTCATACCCACATACAGTAAGATCAGTTCATATTACATGCTTTGCCATCAATGCTGTTGTTATGACCTGGTGAAGTGTTATCCTTTGATGGCAAAACGTTTAGTTCACATTTTGGGCTTTACTGGTGAGGGCATCGGAAAGAAGATAGCAGTTAACAGGAAAGTAAATATTGACTACTCACAAGCGACATGGATTTCGATTTTATTCTTATTCATGAAACTAGCAAAAAAACTTGAATTTGCAGCTCATTTAAACCTTGCATCTTCAGTAAGTAACTACACCTATTCATCATCTCCTCTGAAGACTATCAGTCAAGCCCTGGATCAAAATTTGGCTCAGTTAATAAAGTTACTAAGTCGCCTGCAGCCTGGCCAACGTACAGCAGAGTTTGAGTCGCAGATGACACGCAGCATCCAATGTGCCTGTCTTTCATCCAAGGAGCCCTCTTCCTCCAGTGATGGCCAGACTGGGTGCTCGCCTGACCCTATTCCCCGACCCGAGTCTGAGCCTGTTCCCGGAGCCCCAGATGCACCGCCAACTTGTCGAACTGCGGCATCCTTGCTCTGAGGACCGGGGCCACGACTGGCACCCCCTCCAATTGTTCCGCCTCCACCACTGCTACCGCTTGAATTGGGCTGTCTCGTCTGGTTTACTGTTGCCAGGTGATCCTTATTCCCAGAAGTCACCCTTGATTTGTATCCAACTTTGAAAAACATTTAATATTTAGCAATAGCAATCAGGTAAAAAGAAAATAGTAACTTAAAACAAGTGAATCAGATAACGCCATATAATATGCAGCTAGGTGAGACCAAGGTAGTAAAAACATTTGTTTAAAAATAACGCTTTGCTACATATAAGTTCTAACTAACTTGTTCCCCACAATTAGTCATATTTAAGTAGATCTTTCATATTTTAAATATGCGTTAGCTCGCAACCCTCTACCTTAACTTATTGCCTTAATCTTGAATTATACAGGCAGTTTTTGGCGATATCGTCAATTTGCCTCCATAAAGAAAAGAATATATGCATACATAATTACTTAATTAACCTGAATATCCTCTATTTTTTGTTTTTTATTAGGGGGCACAGGCAGCTCTAGAGTGAGATTATGCTTTCTATTAATAGTCTCATTAAATGTCTCCAAGTACTGGTATGCACACACAAAATTTTCCATATAACAAGATGTCGCAGACAAATAATCTCTTTTTCTACACGAACCGGTTTATTTAACAATCGTAGACTGATTATAAACCGTGGAGATGATGATAAAGATTATACCAAAAACAATGGGCTTTAGTTTATATTTATTTAATATTACTACTTAAGCAACATATCAGTAGTATGATTTTAATCTATTAATCAAATCCGAAGTAGGAATACGTTGACGGCTAGATTAAATTCCACCAATCAAATTAAAGGTTTACTACTAATTGCCTTTATTAGGGGGACCTACATTTCGTAGGAAAGTACATGAAGAAGAGATTCGTTGGTCGATCTCACCAATATGAGGACAGATAGTTTTCTTGGCCTAGTGTTAACGAAAGCCTTTTACAAGAATGACACTCAGTTCTGATGATGTTCATCATATGATGGACGAAAGCTCAGCACGTTTTCACCCGAAACGAAGGAAGAAGTACCGAGGACTGCGTCAAGATGAATATCGTATAAAATCCAACCGGCTGCAGTACAAAGAGTTTCATCCGTCCTCATTTGATGAGATCGACTAACGAATTTCTTCTTTATGCACTTTCATACGAAATGAAGGTCCTCCTTACAATGTTATGTCAGGAGATTCATCGAAACCAAGTTCCTCTTCGTATCTACAATTGTCTTTAGTCTACTCTTATGAGATTTCTAACTTCCTGACCAGAATAAAAGGGTGCATGCAAAATAGGTTTCCATATTTTACTTGCATTAACTATAGTAAGCTTAAGTCTTATTTACGCTTACACCAGTTATCTCCTCTTCCAATTTCGTTTCAACTGATAAATTAATCAATCAATCTAGTAATTATATTTATTATTATTATATCATCAATTCTAAATTTTATAATTAAGACTAGGGATTAGTCTTGGTCACCTTTCATTGTCTCTGCTCGACGCAACCTTAGCATCTCCAAGAATTGCCAGTTTGCCAGGCTGATCGGCCATGCCTCAGGTACCACATAGGCCTCAACAATGAATTGACGTTCTTCAAGACGATCCCCTAAGCCTCCACTAGACGAGCCGTCTGGCCCGGTGCTCATGGGCCCTAAGTGGGACCTGGGGCTCTTGCTCCCCACGCTTATCTTGCCTGTCCCCGTCCGAGAAGTGACAACGGGCTCGCCTGCCAGATGACCCTCGCCCGCCATTTTGCTGGTTGCCGAAGCAACCGAGGAGTGTAGCTCTTTCATTTGGCCTTGGAAAGGTGAGTTAGGCATGGCATTTGAGGCCGGGTTGTTCGTATTTCGCCCTGTTGGCGAATTCTTCAATGTTGCGGTGCCACGCCGGTCGCCTGAAACACCGGCTGCCCCAGTTGCCTTGGGCGATGCTGCTCGAGAGCCTGCACTATCGACATGCTGAAAAATCACAGATTTGATGGAAGAAAAAATCAGTAAGTGAATTAGTCGCTGAGTAGGAAATATAATAAATATATTAATTATATTCACTTCAATGGTAGGTAGACTTCGAACGAAATATTACCCACCAATGTTATGGTTTCTAAAATACTACAAATGCCCTTTGTCAAATAAGGATCACCTCTTTGACTTCGATCTGGGTTGAAACAGTAGTGTCAATCTGCCAAAGGCAAATGCGTCTTTAAAGGCATACAAAATCATACTTATTTAGCCTTCTTGTAAGTTAACTGTTTACTAAATCGACTTAATATTTGTCATTAATAGAAAAGGTAATTTTTTACCTTGCAGAGACCTTGATATAGGCCGTCTAAATGACATTATTTTGCTTATTTTGCTGCGCGATAAGCATGGATAAAGTGAGTTCTGAAAACGAAGAGAAGCTTAACGTGAGAATAGTTTTATCTTCGGGCCAGAAATGAGATAATAATTCGTTTAATATCGTGATTTCTTAGTCAAAACCGTATCCATTGTCTTTGCGTGTTGATATTGTTTAAGGTCTTTAGACTTCCCTTCAACTAAGTCTTCTTTGGAATCCTGCCAAAGCATTTCAACTTTCCCTGACTAAGTCCGCCATAGCATTACAGCTGAGAACGGATTGATCGAAACTGGATGTTGATGCGCCATGAGGTACAATTAAGGGAAAGTTTGATTTGTTTCCCGGTTTTTATAATATTTCGCTCTACCAAGTTAAGTGAAGCAGACTCCAGATTAATCAGCTTGTCAGATAGGTTTTCTGAGAAGGTAAAGGATGGGGAGTGATTCTGAGGTGCATTATTATTATTAATGTCTCTAATGAGTTACTCATTTTGAACTCATTTTTTATGAAAGTCTCGCATA